TGATTTCTGTGTGGATCCACAGAGAATCATATTCAGTGTAGACTTGGTAAATTCTTATTTCTGTTCCCCGCCCTCTCGTTTTGCAGTTCAAGTGAAGTAAAACAAAACGTGATGTACTGTATTCTGTATGATTTCTCAGAGGGTAACGATGTCCTGGAGTAGAGGTTGGGAGGGGAACGGGTCGCAGTTATACTACTTTTTTTTTTTTAAATATATATATATATACAGAGAAGAAAGAGAGGCCAAGTGCAGCTTTTGTTCTTTGTGTAGATTCCTTGTGAATTTTTCTTTTCATTCCATGTGAGCACCATGTTTCGGATTGCGTGGAAACTGGTGAGTAGTGCTGGAGGAAACTGGAAAGATTTTGAGTCACGACGCAGGTTTGGGAAGAAGAGGAGGGGGAAAAAAGGCAGTGACTGGAGACGAGATAGATGACCCTTCAGGACACTACCCACAAGACCGTGACTACTACCCTCAATTTTAAACAAATGGTTAATGTTCTAAACTTGAACATAAAAAAAATAACAGCCTTGTTGGTATTAATATAAATATATTAATATTGTCAATGACTTTAATTTTTGTTTTTCAGTCACTGAAGCTTTCTTTTGTATGTCCTCCAACTGTACAGAATCTCAGCTTGTCATGTTAATAATACTGATGTCAAACTGTCTAGCAGAAAATTAATTTGCAAGTCTAACTTTTATTCCCCCCCACCCCTCAGCCAAACAGCTGGTTTTCAAATTGTTTCATGTTCACGCTCCAAACCAGATCACCTTGACAGACACAGTGGAGACAGTCAAGTGTGTGCTGGAAGGTTTACATTGTCTCTAGTTTTAAGTTTGAGTGCTGTAAACCCCGAAACAAAGATGATTCCATGTTGGTACATATTAAATTTTGATTCATTCATGTTTATAGTAAAACGTAAGTGTGATTTAAAATGTCTATGCAAAGCTTTTATTTATTTTTTATTAGGTTTACTCTTTTAAGCCGCTCTGGGTTCAAGAACAATATTTTTGCATGAAATTTTAATTGTTCACTATTTCTATTGATGTTACAAGAAATACAGCTTAGTTGTGTAGTACTACGGCAATGCCTTTTTACTCACCTTGAAGGCTTGACTTGTAGATTTTTTTCTTTATTGATTTATTCTACCAGTTGGATTCCCTGATGTGGTGTTTGTGTTTTGACAGGAAGCTAATGGCCATCACTATTTTTATTTATTTATTCCCCCACAAGACTTCAAATTGCTTATTTTGTCCAACCAAAAGTCCAATATTCAGATTCAATATATAAAGACAACAATGAGAGAAACAAATAATACACTCATTTAAAGAGGCTGAAACCTGAAAATGTTTAGTTTTTTTGCTTGGAAAAGTGACTTTAATGATTCATTCATCATGAAAACAGTAGCACTGAAATCGTTTTAGCTATTCCATTCAAATTTGCGAAGTTTGGTTGATTTGACAAGCCAAGACTTTTACAGTGCATGTGTGGAAAGACAAGCAATATAATATGATGCCACAAAATAACAGATACAGTACTCCTGTGTTCTTTGTTTTTAAACTTCTGCTAATCATTTTTGGAAGTCAGATTGTTCTACCAGTCAAATTAATCCTCAGACTGAGGCTGAGTTCAATGATTTAAATAGTATTTAGCAAAATAATGTCAATGAGTAATGAGGCCAAAAAAGAATAATACATTTTATTTAAATAGGGCTTTCAAAGGTACTCAGACACTTTACATGGTTTAAAAAAAAAAAAAAAAAAAGACAAAACCACAATATACAATGTTATCTAACAGTGATAAGATGCTTGATATTTATTTTTCTCGTTGTGAATCATCCCCCTGATTGGGAAACACTGATTTAGGATCAAGCCAGATCAGCCAGACACAGTCAAGCTGTCCAACTATATTGTGGCCCTATGTTCACATCTCGGTTGTAGCTTTCCTATCTGTAACACCACAGCTGCAATTGTGTGTTGTTTGTATAACTTGGGTCACTGCTTCCTGTAAACGCCTCAACTTTCGCTTTCCTTTTCCTTTACACGCCTGTCCTTGTGCAGCCAGCAGGTGTCCCCGTTTCACCTCATAACTTGAGCAAAGAGAAAGGAGAGTGGAATACGTCACTTTTTAAGGGCAGTTATTTAACGTGCTGTGACGTTATTGGTGCAGTTTGACAAGTGTAATTATTCATGCTAAAATTAGGAATTCCCGCTCCCGTTTGTCAGAAACGGGAGCTGCAGCAGGATGATGGAACACGGATACACATGGGTGACAAATGAAAGCTAAAACCAGGATAAACCCCAGATGAAGTGTCTTGAGTAGGACGTCAGGCCACCACGAAGCTCCTGAACCGCTTCAGCGATCCTTGCCGCGACTGTGGAACAACATTAGAGGGATGAACACCAGATACTATTTATTTATGTGTGTGTGTGTGTGTGTGTGTGTGTGTGTGTATATATATATATATATATATATATATACACACACACACAATCTTTATTTAATCAGGTAATGTCATTGAGATCAAGATCAAGAAGAAAAACAAAGCCAGACAAAAAAAGACGTTTGGCTTTAGGCTCATTTAAATAAGTTTTGTTATGACGAGCGCGGAGTAAAAAGCTCAAAACGATTACATAATGGAAAGAAAACGTTTTCCTTTTTTGGGGAGGTCGCAATTGTCGTTTAGGGTCAAGATGATAAATATTCAAATGCGTGAAACATTGAGTTTAATAAGGCTGCAGTATAGAGGGGGAGTTCCCATCTGGGAGGTGACGTGATGTCGAGGGGATTTCCACACTGAGCCAGCCAATCAGAGCGAGCACTTGCGGAAACACAAAAACTGCCGCAAAGACATCTTCGTGCGTTATTCGACACATGGCTCCGAGTCGGTTTAACGAGTTTTCACGGCTGACATCGTTTCTGTTGTGTCTGTCATACTGACATGAGATGAGCTGTTTTGAAGAGAGAGAGACAAGTTTTGATCTAGAACAGAAGACCGAAAACGGAAAATATCCGGTTTGGAAAGAGTTCAAGGACGCGACGGCGGAGTTTACGCTCTTTAAGTGCTCCTCCTCACACACGGACATCTTAAACATGAAAGACACGGACATCTTAAACGGCAATTCTGGTGAGTTTTAAGTGTTAATCTTTCACTGTGGGTCTGTTTGTGTGGGTGAAGCAGAGTGAGAGGGCTGACATCATCGCCAGGCATGTGATTTGTCACAGCAGAGGAGCCAACACCCATCCCGGGACCTGAGCACTCCTACCCGGCTCTCGTACGGCTCTGCTTTGTGCAGGGTTAACATTCACAATCCGCAAACCGGTGTGGTTTTTTTCAATTTTTTTTAATTCTATGTTCACTGACAGTTTGCTTTCTGTTTGTCCTGCAGAGCGAGGGGTGTCAGACATTGGTGAGTATACGGACTCTGTTTTCTCTTCTTTTCTTTTTTTTGCCTCATCCAGTCATGCATGTGTGTGTGGGATGTCAGGCGTTATTGCAAAGTGTGGCCTGACTCTGCCTCATGCAGAAGGAGAAGTTGTCTGTTATTAGTGTTTCTGCTTCCTCATCTTATTGTGATGTTTCTCACGAAGTCTCTGGTTAGTAAAGTGGCCCTGAGGTGCAAAACAAAACATTTCAGAAATACAAAATAACTTTTCAGAAAACTCAACATGCTTTAAGAAGCATTGCATGTATGCATTTAAATATATTCTGTGCATTTAAGGCTGCAACTTATGTTGATTGTTCATTAATCTATCTATTTTATCACTTAATTGTTTATCTGTTAAAAATTAGTGAAAAATGTCAATTAGGCTGCAATTCCCCAAAACACACATTTGTATATTTAAATTGTTGACTTTCATTGTGTTGCCTAAAACCTAGAGATGTTGAGTTTAGAGAAGAATAAGGAAACCAGCAATTATTCACAAGTTTTCCCTCCACATTTTGTCTTAAAAATACTTTGTTTACCTGCTCATTCATTTTCTGTTGATTGCCTAATAAATGAATAATTTTTGTCTGCCTTGTTAGTATTGTACACACCAGTAAACTCTAGTTCCTATTTGGTTGGAAAGTGTCAGAAACAGGTATAAACTGTGCATGGTATTTTTAAGAACTGCTAACCATAGCAACAGTACTCCCATTTGTTTTACCAGTGAGAGTTAACCGGTAATGATGTCTTAACTATGGAGTCAGCTAACTAACCAACCATATTAAAACAACACAGGTATAACACATGTACATGTACTTGTATTTTTCGATAATTGGCCCTTGTATAAGCATGATAATGGAACTTTAGGTGTGCTGATATAGAAAATAATGGAGTGGAGTAAAAAACATTTTTAAGTTCGGCATACACAAACAAAAAGGCATGATCTTGTTATACACTGCTGTAACACTGAGCATAAAACACATTTAAAATAAATACGGAAATATAACCTATACATACATGTCTCGTGATGAGTGTAGTTATTATATGGCAGCTTGATATTTAGTCACATTGATTGAATACATGACATTTTCTGTGTAAGATAGTGCATCTTTACCTGGATGATAAAGGTTATTTTTCATAAAAATGTATATATGTTTTATGATGTTCATGTTCGTTGCAGCCTGACAGGAGCAAAAGACTGACACAGAACACTATCTTGTTTATCATCAATCATTTTTTACAGACCTCATTCAAGAAATCATCCGAGAGGACGGTGAGCGGTCGGGTTCCTCCCTCCTCCCTGGACCTCCTTCCCCTCCTCCTAACTTGCGCTGCCAGCCTAACGGCCAGAACCAGAGGAGCCTCCGACGGTGCTCCTCACCGTCCTCAGAACCTGTCCTCTTGGCGAGAGGCACCCATGTCAGGTGAGTGGGGTCAAAAACATTGCAGTGAGATTTATTTGTTCCAGTGAAGTTGTTTGTGTTGTTTTGATCTATCTGGTCAGTTGGCGGTTTCCTACATTTCCCAGGATGCCTGTAGCTCTCTTCGCGACAACACAGACACAGGTCAGTTCTTTGCAACGGGCGTTTATTGCTGTGGGCACATCGGGTCTCTTTGGTACATCCAGCTTCACACCATGTACGCCTTGAACGTCGTATATGCCTTATACGCCGTGAGAACTACATTGTAAGTGAACACAGTACAAATAAATCAATACATTATAGCTTAGCAGAGAAAATACAAACAACATCCAGATCAATAAAGACAATATAATAATACCTCGTTGGCCGCTTGTCGTGAAAAGAGGTTACTAAGTTCTTTGAAGTCTCTTGAATGTCCATTTGGTCGTCTGTATTAACTTCAAACCACATTTTTAACTTTTATGCAGTTTAACAAGCATCGGAGCTATCTGCTCCGCCGGAATTCAAGGCAGTGAGTGTCGACTTAAACCGTTGTAGCGGTAACACAGACAGAAAACATTAGTTCCGGGACAAACGTAAATATACAGAATGAGATAGATACACTGTTAACCACATATCATTTAGCAGCTTATTCTACCCTTTAGTTCTTAAACATGTATTACATTTTATCTTTACACCAAATTAAGTTATATTTGTTACATGAAATTATAACAGCAATTATGAACTGCGCATCATGAAAACACAAGTATTTATGCAACAACACTTACAATGCCTATTCACAATACTCAGAGGGCAAGAGTGAAGGTGTGTCTTTCAGGTGTGAGTTAAATTGATAGATGACAATGGATCCTTTTATAAATGATTATTGGATATCAGGTGTTAGAAAAGCTGTATGTTTTTAGCTTTAATTTCAAACCTGAATACAAAGCTCGTTTTGAAGATCAACCAGACTTTCCTGTCTTTACCCCAGTCAGACTAAATTAATGCCAAAACAGATAGTCCATTAATCCATTAGTCAAGTGTCAGTAAATTCATAGACAACAATTTTTATATATTTAATTGTTTAAGAAAATTTTATTATAAATTTTATCGACTCAACGATTAATCAAATTATCAAAATAAGTAACCGATGATGGGCAAAGTCTTTTACTGCCGCCTTAGACTACATACATTAATTTCACAATATTGATCCAGGCAGGCAGAGACAAATGTTTACATATCAGTGATGTGGTCAGTTATTTTGTCCATATGGCCATCATTGAGCTGGTGATGGCTTGTCAATATTAAACTCAACAACAGAGGAAGCTTCAGATAGGCTTCTTCTCTGTTAGGATGTAAAAAACAGAGGAGACTGCAGGTTTAGTGAAGAGGTGTTTTTTTTTTTTTTTTTTTTATGTTGGTGGGAGAAACTGCAGTGGAGTATACCTCCAGCCTGCAGATGGTTAGGTCTTTGTTGTTGTACAGGGCAGTAGTTAGGGAGCCTGGCAGGTCTGTCTTACAATAAAGCACGTGATTTACAGACCATAGGGAGATCAGAAGTGCTGTAATCTGATAAGACTGTAGTGACGCTGTAGCCTGCACAGCCCGTGTAATACTGTAGGGCAAACAGCTGAAGCTCTTTGGAAATTACCTGCATGTGAGATTGCTTCAAGTTTTTGTGTGTAAATTCACTTTATTAATGAATTTCTGAGTCTGCGATAGAGGCTAACACGCCACCTCCTCAGCATGCTCCTCTGTTGCAGGAGGCTGAGAGAGAGCGGGGGGGAGTGGTTGGAAAAACTGTAATCTGACTCCTGCTTTCAGTTTGCCCATCCTTTCTGTTTACTAGCCAAACCTACCGTGGGTTGAAAGGTCACATTCTTCGCCCTGCGTCGCTTTTCAATTGGTCGATCCACATCAGGTTGCGCTGACTTTATATTTCCTGTTCTGTCAGGCTTTGTTTTAGCTCTAGTGTTTTAAGGTATGCCCGGGCTAACACGCTCGAAGACGCACACATGAACAGACATCTGTGGCTGGGCAGGATATTGTGAAACATGATCTCATGCAGTGGCATCACCCAGATCTCTGCAGCAACGGCGTAATGCGCTCTCAGCCTGATTAATCGCTACACGGGAGACAAAGGGGTCAACTTCTTTACTTCTTTGTTCCCTGCAGGTTTGATTATTCATCTGTCGTTAAACTGTTCCTCCAGATAGACCAAAACATAAGTGTGTTTTGTGAATTTTACATTTTTGTTTGTGCTACCTTTTCTTTGTTTTGCAAGACATTGAAGCCATTTAGAGGTCTAACTGGGAGGGAAGAATGGCGAGCGTGGCAGATAAAGGAAAATGAACAGAGAGAGAGACACAACAACAAGTCTCAGTGGGAACGGAAAGAGCTTTGTAGTCTGTGGTGAAATGCAAAAATAAGACATTTAACTGCAAGATGAGCAGTCAAAGTAGCACATGGTTAACTATGCAGGGATAGAAAGCACATTTATGAAGACAAATGAGACGAAAAGCATGCAGTGACTCAGTTTTGCTGCTTGGTTTCACTGCAGCTATGATGCAGAATTCTTCACCTACAGTGTCATCTGCTATAATGGATGACAGACATCTCTGTTTTATGCTTTAAAAACATGCCTGTGGCGGTTTATTTTTGAGTGTAAGTTAGTGTTGTTTTCTAATGCTACGGGGAAGCCTGTATACCTTAGGGGCCTGAAGTATCAATACAAGAATGTACAAATGCTCTTTTCTATGTAAAATCATGCATTCAGAATTATTCCTAGCTAAAAGTACCTATCAGTGAAATGTTCTTAAAGTATCTAAAGTAAAAATACTGTTTTTTGAATTCTGGCCCATGTGACTGATAAATTATTATAAGTTAAATTATTAGATTGTTAATACTGATGCGTCAATGTGTAAGAAAGTACCGCTTTACTGTTGTAGCTGGTTGAGCTGGAGCTAGTTTTAACTACTTTATATACATTTTTTTAGTGAAATGTCAGATGTCTTTACCTCCTGTCATCTGAAACATGACATGATTCCCCAACTAGATGCTGTTTTGTAAGCCAAAAAGGTTGGGAACCACTGGATAAATCTTGAACAATGCTTTTTATAAGGTTACCAAATGTGTTTTTATGTAAAACTCTTAATCTGAAAAGTAACTAGTTGCTTCCAGATAGATGGAATATAAAGAAGCAGATAATTTAAATGTTCACAAATGTCTATAGACACTGTGTATATTGTTACAGGTCAGGAGAAGACATTAGTAGAGAAGTTGCTACCTGTTATGAATATCTGGGTATAAATGTCTTTCTCTTAGGCATCATATTGGAAACGTTAAGAATCAGACACTGAAGTTTCATTTTTATATCAGACAAAGGTTTCTCTTTAGATGCTTCAAAGTAAACATTTTATAGCCGGCTGGGGCAATTTCTATCTTATCTCTGCAAATGGTTGATACAGGGTTGATCATGCATTATCTGAGATCAAATAATATAAATCTGCTGACTCCATTATTTATTGTCCCTGTTCTTGGGCTCAATGGTTTGTATTATTTTATCTGTTGTCTGATTTAGTGTTGTTAGTCTGCATTTTTTAATGCTGCTGTCTTGGCCAGGTCTCCATTGCAAAAAAGGTAAGTTGCAACCTCAACTTACCTGGTAAAGGTAAACAAAGGTAAAATAATGTAGTTAATATGGTTGTGTTTTGTTTTTTTTCTCCTCCACCACAGCCAACCTGCACCTTTCCTCAGCCCCTGCAGCAGTTTTGCACTTCCAGAGAGATGGCTCATCCATCCCGGGGAGCCGGTTCCTCACGGCGTGGTCGAGGCTCCTCAAGTTTGCTAGTCTCAAGGAGCTGTGGCAGTGTTTCTTCTCTGAACCGGGGAGGCGACGCTGAGATGCTGGAGCGGATTCTGGAGAAGCCGAAATTGGTGGTGGTGGAGGAGCCAAAGGAGAGAGGCATGAGGTTTCGCTACGAGTGTGAGGGACGCTCGGCCGGCAGCATTCTGGGGGCGTCCAGCACTGAAACCAACAAGACTCAGCCTGCGATAGAGGTAGACACATTGCAGCTAAATTAGTTTTTTTGCTTTGGACCTTAAGGGGGTTTACTAGCTTTTTGAGACAGTTGGAGAGGTTTTAACCGCAGTTGATTTTGTATGATGTGTGCACACTTGAACCCCATGTGAAGACGGGTGGAGCTGGAAGGATGTGGGTTGTTAGAGTCAATTAGAAAGTCCCCACAAATCCCAGCTCAAGTGTGGTCAAAGACAGGCGGTTTATCCCCTGCCTGCATACTAACAAACCCTCCTACACATTCATCTTCAACTTATACAAACACCATCACACAATACAGACGACACTTGTAGCCCAAGCACTGGTGATCAGATTTTTTTTTTATCATACATTGGAAAGAGGTTTCCCAAATGGGTCAATGATAACACACAGAAAAAGGACGCTAGCTGTCAAATGCAGAAAAGAGAGAACATTTAACATGCTCAAATACAGACGCTCCATGACATAAATAACACACAAAAGGCATGGATTAGCAGCTACTCTGAATTGCAACAGCTTGGCCCTTCTCCTTAGGCGGCATCTGCTGCATATTTTAATATTTAGTTCATAAACATTTTCTCACGTTTAAGGATTTTCCGTCTTCTTCCTACTTCTCTATTTTATATTCCTGACCTTTTCTGTCTTTCAGATTCAGGGTCCCATTGACCACTTAAAGAAGGTCACAGTTACTGCGTCTTTGGTGACCAAAGACCTCCCACACCGGCCTCACCCCCACTGCCTGGTGGGTAAAGACTGCCCGAACGGTTCAGGGATCTGCGTTGTCTCGTTCAATCCTAACAGCAACCGGCGTCACAGGTGTGCCCCCATCTCATTTATCTTTTCCCCTAACACATCACATAACTTCTTATTAAATACACATTTTCTTTACCTAAAAATCTTAATATCTTACTCTCTTTCTTGTTTTTGCATTTCACCCATTATCCTTTTCGTCATTCCACCACTGAACATACAAAATGTGTTGTTGTTTTTTTAATTCTTCTTCCCTTCTTTGACTTGCAGCTTTGCTAACCTTGGTATCCAGTGTGTGAGGAGGAAAGAGCTGGACGTTTCACTTCAGAAGAGGAGAAATCAAAATATCGACCCCTTTCAAAGTAAGATGGCTTCTAACACATACCACTCAGAACCTAGTTAATATTGTCATCTTCCTATACATCCATATATTTAAACATAAATGATGATAGATTTTCTTCTTTCCTAACTAATTAATTGTGACTCCTCTAAACAGACTTCATGATTGATTTTTGTGTTTTTTCATCCCTCAGCTGGTCACTCAAAGGGCATTGAAGACATGGACATGAATGCTGTGCGTCTGTGTTTTCAGTGTGATCTTGAGTGGGAGGATGGCAGAAAAGACTCTCTCAATCCAGTTGTGTCCAGCCCCATCTATGACAAGAGTAAGACCTCTCTACACAGATACTTGTAACTCTGCACCAAAAATATCTAAATGCATTTCCTGATTCTCACGCAATGTCCTGTTTTTGTTTTGTTTTTTTCCACAGAGGCCACAACTACGTCACAGCTGAAGATCAGCTGTTTGAACCAGTACAGAGGCTCCTGCGCTGGCAAGACAGAGATCTACATGTTGTGTGACAAAGTACAGAAAGGTAAGAGGAACACCTTCAGTCAAGAGTTTTGTGTCCATCCTGTTGCAGATGTACAAAATATAGAGATGGTGGACAAGATTAGGCTCAAATAGCAAGGTACATGGGAAAAGCTCAACTTTTCATTACAGGAGTGAGGTGTACAAAACATCCTCTGCTGGGTCAGACACACACCAGACCAAACAGCAGACAATCAGAGTAATAAGCTGCGTTTTGACCAGAGGAACTGTACCCCGGAACTAGGAACCTTTGGAGGAACTCGCTGCGTTCCCACCAGAGGGACCAGGGTCTAAATGTAGTTCAGGGGTCTTCATTTTACCCTCTAAAAAGACCCTGCTCGTGGGGTAGTACTAAGTATCTGTACTTTGGGGGGGGCGGGGCTTGCCTTGCATTGAATTTATGAATGGGCGAGTAGAGGCTACTGGCTTTAACTGAAGAATGTCGGGTATTTGTCTGCCACTGCTCCTCTCTTTTCCACCATTGTTTGCAAACCAATAAATCACAATAGCACACATCTCGCCGCTGTTCGCCTGAGATCATCGTCGGCATTAAATGTAAATAGCAGCCAGCCTGGGTGGGTTTACAGCGAACAGCTGATGGAGTTACTACTGAGTCCAGAGTTGTTGTTTTTAAGTTTTCATCAGTCAGGAAGTTTCTACACAGAGCTCAAGTCGGTCTCCTCCTCTTCAAAACCAGCTGAGCAGCTGATTACAGCAGGTAATAAAGCTCACTTTCCTCCGACGCTCAGGCGACACAGATGAGTCCTGCAGCTGATCTGCAGCTCTTGTCACTGGAAATGTTTTAATAACTTTCCAAACTGTTGCGCTTTTATTTTTGTGCTGCTTTCTCTGTGCTGGACTTATTTTAAAAACTTTATGGTTTTATCCAGTTTGTTATTAAATGCGTAACGAACTTTATCGCGTGTCTCTTCATTATAGCTCCCACACAAAAAAGCTGCTTTAATGGTCAAGCTAAGCCTATAGTTTATTATTATTATTGTTATTATTATTATTATTATTATGTTATTATATTCCAGTCAGATCTGATCATTTATAAATGTTGCTCAGGGATCGTGGTTACAAATAATGATGCCTGTGCATCGCTGTGTACAGCCAGGCCTACAGCCTACGTCAGCTGGTTAATTTGCCTAATCTTCGCAGATCTTTAGACCACAGTGGAAACACACACCACAGTGGGCTGAAGGAACCTTTTAGTTCCTTGAAAAGAGATCTGGGGACTTAAAAGTCTGATGTACTCTTGGTCAAAAAGCCCTATATATGATGATGTGATTCTGCCTCTCTAAGCTCCACAACAATTAGCGAAACAAGATTTCTGTGAAGGTTCCCAGTCATAGTTATCTAGGAGAGGTTAAAATCAAGGGCATCTTCAACCAAGTCTAGTTGCCCTTGATGCCCTTAACCTTCTCTGGATAACTGGATATGGGTACTGTTCATACGAAATAAGGCATACTTCTGTAACTTGTGTTTGCACTTATGGACTTAGATACCCAACCACCTGGACTTGGTTGAAGTCCAGTTGCCCTTGATTTTAACCTTCGTTGGATAACTATGTCCTGGATGACTGAGAATCTTCATAGACAACATTAGAATTGATGATGTGAAGTGTTGTGAACTTGACTTGAAGCTAAGGAAGATGCTTAAAACACTTGTGGTGGTTAGGATGGAGCAGTAAAAAGCACACTGGATAACATCTGATTAACATGGCTCATCCACAGATGACATAGAGATCATCTTCAGGCGAGGGTCGTGGAAGGCGAGTGGGGAGTTTGCCCAGACAGACGTTCACCGGCAGATCGCCATCGTGTTTAAGACTCCACCCTACCAGGACCAGGACATCACAGAGGAGGTTGAAGTCAGCGTTGCTCTGCGTCGCCTCTCAGACCAGATGGAGAGCGAGCCTGTTAGCTTCACGTACCTGCCACATAACCCAGGTCAGTCTGGGCTGTACAGCGCCGGGTGGTCTAAAATGGATGAAATGTACTTTCAAGCTAGAAACAATAACAGGAGGTTAATTGTGAAGTTTTACTGTCCTCATTTCAGATCCATATGAGGTGAATCGGAAGAGAAAAATAAAGTCCGACATCAGCCTCAGAGAGAAACCTTGTGTGACAGGTGAGGCCTGAACGTGTTTTTCTTTTTTCTTTTGATCTGATGTTTCCTTTATTCATGTTTCTGGTATCAAGAGGCAGTTATGAGGTAAACCGATTCAGATTCACAAATGGCTTTTGTGTCTGTCAGACTGCTTGTCTGAATTTGCACTTTTCACATTTTGACTTGTCATTGCAGGAAAAGCACAGGTGTTAATAATGATGGCTCTGTGCTACTAAAGCTGGGCAGACACAGTGCGTTTTCATGAATCTTGTACGTTGCGTTTAGTCAAACCACAACTTGCGACTTTTATGCTCACACTGAACATAAGCACAGAACCCCACGTCGATTTTGTATTTTGACAATTTTAATATTATTATAGTTTGGCCGTGCACTCAACCTCTACAAAAGAGAGAAAGGCAGCATTTCTTTGTGCAATTGTACTATGAATGGAAAACAAGAAGAAGGAAAAAAACAGAGCTGCAGATGGCTGGGAAATGCAGAAATGTGAGCTGGAGGTGTCTTCTGCAGTGCAGATCAGTTGTATATCACAGAACAGCTTCATTAAAGGCAGTTTTAACAAGTAAAATACTACTCCAGTAATATATAAACAAGCTCACTAACAGTTTATAACAGTCTGATATCCAACCTGGCTGTTGTCAGATCTGTGGAACTGGTCAAACTAGACCAACCAAAATTTCATACATGCCAGAAACCCATCCATTCGTTAGAGCAGCAGATCATTGATCGTTTAATTAATCAAACGTCGAAGCAAGCTTTGTCCATTTAGTGTTTGCCAATAAGTCGTGACAGCAAGCCTGTAAAATACCAGGACCTTGAACACTGTTGTACCAAGATGTGTTTGTTTATTTTGCCTACCATCATTGATAAAAATGGGGTGGGCAAAATTGTCACTCAATATAGCACCACAAGTGTGACCTCAAATGACCTCTTCAAAACAGTTTACATTATTTATATATAAATTATTTATTCATGAAGGTAGGATTCATTGTAGGGTTGATTAGACTGCATTCGTTTTAGCTGGGTGTTTTTGGGCAAAGATTTAAATAATATTGAGGTTCATATAGCATAATCAGAATCATGTGTCCTGATCCAAGTATAAGGTTCTCTCTACCTTATAACTGACATGATGACTGACTTTCATCATGTTTCTAACAGGTATTTATTTTCTTTGTAACACAATCTGTTTCCTATCCTGCAGCAGAAAGTGCACCTGCGGCAGAACAGCCTTTCCACTTCCCCCAGCCGCCAACCATGATGTCTCCAGACGAGAGGCTTTGTACCGCCCTGCCTGTGGATTCTCCTTTAGGGCAAATGTGTTACAACGAGCCCCCGGACTCAAGCACTGGCATTGATCCGGCCCTCCTTAATCAGTTGCTAGAAATGCCTGCATTTTTGGAAATGCTTGACCCTCACCTCACCTCGTCCATGCTCTCAAGCTTTGAGCAGGGGGCTGACGCCAACTCCACGTTTGCCAACACTGAAAACATGGATATGAACTATACCCAGAACTTTGGCTCATACACTCAGGACTTTTCCCATTACAGCGACTTGCAGTTCAACATGCTCGTCAATGAGAGTCAGACTCCGCAGTCAGAGGCACAGGACAGCTCCTCCAACATAGTTCAGGTGAAGACCGAAGAGGAGCTATGAGGACGGGATAGTCAGGATCATGTAGCACTCTTACACACCCTCCCTGTTCATTTTAGAAGCATAGTTAGACATATTGGGGAAATATGCTTTTTACCTTTTGGACAGAGTCAAGCTAGCTGTTTCTCCCGAGTCCAGTCTTTGTGCTAATGTAAGCTAACTGGCTGCTAGCTTCAGCACGAGAGTGGTATCCATCTTTTCATCTAACTCTCTGCGAGAAAGCAAATAAGCACAGTGTTTAACTTTTCTCGTAACCCTTCTGTATCTAGAGCCAAACAAGATTATGTTGTCCCAAGATGAAACAAGACGCCTCCTTTGTTTGTAGACTCATTTGGTTTCATAACTCTGCACTGCTGCCCTCTCACTAACCCAATATCTCTGTGTTAATGCCTTGCTGGTCAAGGCTTTAGCAACCAGGAGCAGGTCAACATTCCCACATATTTTCCTGTAATGCTGCTAGCATTAATCTTCAGGCTTAAGGTCAGAGAATGGGGAGTTAAGCGTTGAGCTTAAAAAGAGAACTTGTGAACAGAAGAAATCCGTCCATAAATTGCTGTTGTAGTAAATCATTGGCTGTAATACCTGTCACATAATGTTTGTGTAAAGTCTGTTGCATTTGTTTCCACATGGCTTAGGGGAAACATCCCGACTTCCTACGAGAAGTTATTTGCAGTGTGAAAGGATTTTAGTTTTAAAACACAAAAAGTCTCAAGTAGAGTAGTTTCAGATCTGTTCTTCATATTGTTATTGTCTGTTGTTACTCTCTGCTGATGTGGCCGTCAGCTGACTTGTTTAATATTTAATCAACTTAAATGCAATAGAAACCAGTCCTCTTCTGTCTGTGTCAGTTCCTTTTTGTTCTGCAGTTTCACTCTCGTGCCAAGCATTCAAAGTTCCACACAGCTTGTCACTAGTCCAACTCCACCCCCTCGCTGTAGCACTGTAGTGTCAATATTTCAGAAAAGACGAAATAAAATGGCAGTTTTATTTTTGTCGTGTCGTTACTTCCTCTGAAACTGACCACCTCTCTTGTAATGATTTGTTTGACTTCAAAAGAAAAAGTATTTTAGAGTGACACAAAAAGGGAAGATACTTTTGAATGTGACCTCTCTTTAGCTGCTTGCCTACGCACATTCCTAACCTGCTCGCTCATTTAAAAAACATTGAATCTTGGCAATGAGTAATGCTTTTCAGGTCAGACCTTTAAATGTCAGCAATGACACAAGACAAACATGAATAACTTGTGTGCCTGAGAAATTAGACAGAAACGTTCACATGAAAAGTGTCCTTTGTTTACGGTTATCAGACACCTTCAGGTGTCTCTAGTCAGCGTCTTAACCTTACACCAGCAACACAATGCCTTTTTTATTTTCATAAACTTGTCCGTCACCTCTTACAGTAATCCAGGCTAAAAAAAATATCTCTATTTCTCCTTTTTTTGTGTGGTCTCTGCTGAGTCTTTTGTAAGGCCACATGCTTATTGGGAAACTTGTAATGCTACAGAAGTTTTCACAGATTGAGACAGATTGGAAAATTAACATTCATTTTGAAATGTCAAACATTTGTCACCGTTTTTGTGCATATTTTTAGCAAGTTTATAATCCTTTAATAAAACCTAGTTTTTGATAGTATTAATGGTCTGCAATTTATTCGGCAATAGCCATTCAATGTATTTATATTTTATTATTCTTCTGGTTTTTACAGTGGTGGAGTCGCCATAATTTAAATTGCCTTCCCAAACAGACACGGGTTGCTTTTCTGTTGTATTTCTGACAAAGTAGCTATTCAAGGAACGTTTGCTAGATGGATTTATTCGTCACTTCAAAATGTTTGTTTTGTCTAAAAACCAAAAGATACACAACTTTTTTTGAAAAAAGGAGCAAATCCTCACATTTCAGAAGTTGAAACCAGTACCCGAGCTGCACTTTTCTTTATGAATTACTTAATAAGTACACCAATTAATTTTTTGGCACTTAGTGGACTAATTGTTTCAGCTTTGTTCACTCTTACACCCCCAAACATGTTTTTACTGAGCAGTAAACAAACAATGGTGGCAAATGTGTAATTGCAGTATTGACCATTGTCAGTCATCCATGCTGTGCACCTGGTTACCACATGTGCTGTTGTTGGGCGTTGGTTCAAGCAGGTGTTAAATTTTGTGGCTCTGTCCGTCACTGTTGACTTGAATTGAACACATGGCTTACAGACTCTGGGAAACTCCACACTGGGCTGGTTTCCAAAGTTTTTATCTAGTGTGCACAAAGAAATACACACAATTTCCTGTTAAATGGTACCACCTTACCCTGCTATTAGGACTCGTCCGGACATGTCTACTCTTATCTGTTTTCATGGTCATCCTCTGCTAAAGGCAGAAAAGTGGTAGTTTAATAAAGACTTATAGCCTTTATACAATTTTTATTGATTCCAGCCTTATTTGTGGCCTTATAATGGCCTTATTTATGGGCTAAAAGTATTAGCATACTACAGGATTTTCTTTCAGGTTTATTTATATAAAAGATTTGTTTTGTTATGAGGCTTTAGCAGGAACAGTGGCATCAACAAAATTTTAAAGGAATAGTTAGCCATTTTTAGGAAATGCACTCATTTGCCTTCTTGAGAGTTAAATGACAGTGATACCAGCAAATATGAAGCTGCAGCTTAGCATATCTTAGCATAAAGACTGGAAACAGCGGGAGCAGCTAGCTTGGCTCTTTCCAGAGGTAACAAACTCTGCCTACCACTTACTGCAGGCGGCCAAGAAATAGTTCGGCACATAACCATATCGTTTTTACACTTGTATGGAACAAAAAATACAATGTGTCAATTAGTGAGACTTAGAGGTGCTGGCAGGGAGATTTTGTTACCTTCAGAGAGAGCCTGGCTAGCTGTTTCTCCCTGTTTCCAGTCAAACATGAGAGAGAGGTATCAATAAGCGTATTTTCCCAAAATGTCAAACTATACCTTTAAAGCCAAGTTTACAGTCTGCAGGGAAGCAGTGTTTAAGAGTAACAATTCTCTTGAAATCACGTGGGTTTGCCATGAGAATGGTATTTGTGATCAAAGACAACTGTGAACTTGACCCATGTATGTATGTAGTAAAAGGATTATTTTCATGAGACTTCTGAAAAGACTTCCTACTCCAAATGTTCACATGGAGGTCATCTGTCCCAGCACTAGTCACTTAAAAACTTCATGGACTGTAAATTAGTTTTATTAATATATTTTTGGAAAGCCCAGACACGGTCTGTGCTCGCCCTGTATTAGACTGGACCACCGCCCAAAGGCTTTAACAACCGCATTACTGTGAATTAGGATTAGACAGGAAGACCAAGCTCAAATTGAGAAGATGAATGTGCACCTTAGACTTTCACTGTGGTGAGTAGTTGCTGTGACAGTTAATTATTTGCTAAAATGAATCAAATGAGGTGAAACAGACTTCCTTCAAGTATTCTCGTTATTATATCAGACTGTGAAATGTTTGTCATCTTAATATGATACCAGTTTCAGATTGTAGGCATAAACCTAAAGTCTGAGGTTTGTGGAGACTCTGGGGAATACTGAGCACACATGATGAGTCATGTGTGGTGGAAACAATCAAATATAGAAATGATGATACGGAGAGATTTAACCTGGGGGATTGTACGGTTTGCCCTCAGGAAGGGGTGGACACACCACTTTCACTGGAATCACACCCTCTCAGGTGATCACAACCGTTTAAAAGACACTTCCTGGTAAATCATGCCTAGTCGTGGAAGAAGTACTCAGACTCTTACTAAAGTAAAATTAGCAAGACCACAGTGTAGATATCCTTTGTTACTGTTATTCATGCATTCAAAATTTTACAAACATTTTAGCATCAATACAGACTTAAACCACTCTGCCTTCCAAAAATCAATTGCCTCTTCTCAATGACCCCTGTCCAACCAAATGTCAAGTGTATAGGTTCATTACACTTGACTCACTAATCACAGAATTCTACTGGATGAAAAAACAAACAACTCACAACACTACAGAAAAGCAAACTGCTTGGAGGTTTAAATGCCCCAAATTTCCTCTACTGTAAGCTAATCAATTACAATATCTCACAGATTGGATTCACTCAAATGTTCACTAAGACCCATGGTTAGAAATTGGTAAAGAAACAGATTGATTACAATGCAACACACTCCCTGTCAAAGATTTACCATCGCTTCCAACAACAATACAAAAAAAAAAACATACATGCTACAAGAACACAGTCAGCCTCAACCCTGGAAGCATCCCAATTTGGAACAATTCAGGCTTTGTAGTAAACAGCCGCACCTTCTCTTTAAATTAATGCGAAATCAAAGGAATCACCGACTTACAACAACCCTAACACTGTTGGAAAACAATACCACATTAAAGCTGCATGAATTAAACCAGAAGTTTGATTTGGCTCAAGTACACTTTCTACAAGAACCACAACTGAAAAACGCACTCAGGGAAAAGACCTTTTGCAATATCTGATCCATGAAACCACCACAGTCAAAATTATACAGACTCATATGATCAACCAAAGACTCCACCATGACCAGAATGGCCCATTTCAGAATAATGTTTGTTACTGGATTATAATAATACATAATATATATATAGTTATGCAGCCATGTGTTCCATCACTTTGTTGCAGCTGGAAACGGTGGGGCTTATTTTTATTACTATATATACAGCGTATAGTGTATAGTTAGTTATGTATATGTTAGTGTATATACAGTGAATTTACTCTCAGGATCAATTGTCTTGACTTAACAAGAATACATCATTATTTATTTGTTGTTTATACTTTGTATTACTAATCTCAATCTGTTAAGTGATCAAATAAAGTGAATATAATATAATAGTTGCCTTTGAATTGAAGTGGAGTAAAAGTAGTAGTAACTCAAAAGTGTACTTAAATACAGTACTTGAGTAAATGTGCTATTATTTACAGTATTTATATTAACATTTTATTAAGATGATTAATACTATTGGTGTTAAAATTGTATTTACAGTGGTAGAAAGTGACAGGCACCATGCCGACCTGTATGAGAAGGTGATTTTAATAACATTTCCATTTCATTTTGATATATTTTATGTTTCCTGGAAAATCAATAGACAAGGTTTTTTTGGGGCTGATCACGCAAATGAAATACAGAGTACAAATCAAATTACTTCATCACTTTTGTGCAAAAATAAAGTAAAAATCCAATATTGACATAAAGCAGAAATACTTTAAGTAGCCATATATGGTTTAAAGGGTATGGCTCTGACAGTTAATAGGTTTATAAAGTCATATTACCCAGCCATACTGTCCTTTATTATTAAAGAAAGACAAGAATTAAAGGTAATATTCTGTTGTACCTGCTTGTGAAATATCCTCACAAATAAAATAAATGTCTCCAGAGCTCCACAACAGGCATATGTGAGCTCAGTTAACAAGGTGAAGAACTCAGATTACTGTGGTTAGGCCTAGTCCCAATTAGACGCATGTCCTTTTACTGGCCTGGTGTGGCTACACATTTTGACAAGCTTGAACTAGTTCAAGCTGCTTAGATCATGCATACAAATATAATGTTTAAACTTTTATCAATATGGACATGCTACACATCGTTAGTTTGGTTAGATTCTCTGAATCGTTTAGTTCCTTTTACAGAAACAAAGAGTATTATTCATTGAGATTTAGGTATGGTAATTTCAGTGATTTAAGCAAATGAAAGCCCAGGCTATTAATTAAAGTTTTGCTGTAAAAACTTTAATACTTTCTGAGGACTTTTTAAAAATCAAACTAATGAACTGAAGACAGATTTTCTTGTTGCTGCAGGAGGGTTAACAATTTTTTAGAAAAAACACTAGACTCTGAATGCCTGAGTCTTTCTGAAGCTGTACTGTAGTTAGTACAGTTAGTAAGTAAGTAACTTTATTTATATAGTGCCTTTCAAGAGCAGAATGTCAAACCACAAAAAATAAGGCAACAGATGTAAAAACAGGCTTCGGAAAAATTAAATATAAATAAAAATTAAAGTCTCAACAGGTGAGCTTTTTAAAAGGTGTCCACAGATCTTTAGTCTAAAGGGACAGAGTTATAAACTTTAGGAGCCACAACCTGAAAACCTACCACTTTAAACCCGGATGGAGAAACAACCAACAGGACCCTTTGCAGACCTGCTGCAGAACCGGATCAAAAGCTCAACAGCAGCATTTCAGACGCCTTGTGAAAGATCAAGGGATGCTTTGCTGAGGAAAGGGAAGAGGTAGTCAAGACGGGATGAGATAAAAGTGTAGATTATCATTTCCATCTCCGCTTGAGACACAGCAGGCCTAAGATTTGAAAAGTTTCTCAGATGGAAGAAACAGGAATGAACCAAACACATGACATGTTGGTCCAGAGTGACACCTGGATTTCATTTATAGAAGAGGAAAGAGAGCAGAGACCTTGCATTACCTTAGGGACAAAATTGGGTTGAGCAGATATAAGAACTTGTATTTTGTCAGCATTGAGCTATCATCCCATTTTTATAGAGTTTAGGTTTAAAACAGGTATTATGTTTACCATGTTCAACATCTTAGTTTAGCATATTAGCATGCTAAGATTTGCCAATTAGCACTAAACACAAAGGACAGCTGAGGGTGATGAGCATGTCATTAGTTATGCAGGTGTTTGGTCCTCAACCAAATCCATATTGGCCAAAGGAGGACTGGAAAGGGAATGGGTAAGGAGGCACAACAAAGCATAACAAATATTTACAGAAGAACAGACAAGAATGACGGAGCTGTGAGCTGAGAATCAAGCTGTGAGTCAAAGCTGCAACACTAGCTGCAGACATGATCAATGCCACGTCTCCAAAACTGCTGTCAGTCTAATAAATGGAAGTTGTTGGGAAATAATACATGGTCAGATTGCTCTTTGTGGCCTAACTTTAAAAGGAAATAATTAAGGGCAAACATCAGTAGCCTTTAGTTTTACACTCAATCAGCCTGCAGAGAAAAAATAACCAAATTTGGCACTATAGGGTGTGTGTCAGAGTTTGTTGTTAATATGGATCATTTGCAAGCCATGTGCACCAAAGAATGGGTAATTCCAGACTGGGGTTGAGTATATATAGGCCTATAAAAGGAGTGAATCTCACTGTTTACAGGTGGCAGGTATCTTTTTTTCACTCTGTTGCCAGGTTACAACACCCACGGGAGTCCCCGCACCAGTTGGGATTCCCCATGTTACCATCATAGCTACTGCAACCACAAAGTTGCACAACACCAAATACAACTGACATAGAAGTGTTGAAAGCGAAACCAGGAGAGAAACGGCAGCTTTTTTGTTTTCATAAACCCCTCTGTCATTTTTTTTTGCCACTGGTCACCTGGAGCACCATATAAGGACCATATCTGCATTAGCGCTGTGTTCATGTGCAGATGTGTGGTTTTTAGTACACTGTTTGTTTTGGTGGCAGTACTACCCATCATCTCTAACAGGGAAATCCCTTCTTTTATGAGAAAACTTTGTTGCAACTTCAACAAATTAGACTCCATAATACAAACATAATCTCTCACTCTATTAAAGGACGACTACTCAGTTAAAGCATTTCGGCTCCATCTTTTGGGGAAACACACACATGACATGCCATGGGCCTACTGTGAATCCTCAAAGGCTGTAAAACACATTCAGCTTGTACTTTCGAAATGTTTTTCTGAGAGCTGATTGAAAAGTACCAATACCACAATGTAAATGTACTGCATTTAAAATCTTAATTCAAAGTACATAAATACTGTTAGCAAAATAAACATAAAGAATCAAAAGTAAAAGTATTCATTAGAATGTCTCCTTCCAGAGTTATATTACAACATATATTTTTATATGAATTATAATGTAGCTGGTCAAGAGAGAGATCATTTTAACCATTTATATACTTTTGGGTAGTTTGATCTCTAAGTATTCATAGCTTATTTGTAAAGTAACGAATAACTTAAGCTGTTACACAAATGTAGTGAAGTAAAAAGTACAGAGTTTTCCTTGTGGCAGTACTGTTTTCACAGGCCTCAGGGGAAAGGTGACTGAGGCCTGGTTCCCAACCACATAATAAATGAAAATAAGGTATTCCTCTTAGAGAAAGGTTTAACAAGTATTATAATGGAAAAAATGCCTCTTCAAATAAGTAACAAAAGCATGAATGGGGAAAGGGGATTTAAATGAAACAAACCAAATAGGACTTGCAGGCAGCAGGTAATTGTGCACTTATATTTCACAAGGGCTGCTTTAGGGGCTTTATGTCCACTCTGAGCTTCGGGTCAAAGTACTCATATTTATTCCACAATAAACAAAGGAGACAACAAAAGGGATCTCCCCAAAAGGACAGAGATTTAGGCTGGCTTTGTCTAACGATTGAGTTCTTCGCACATTGCATAGGGTTCAGAATGCTTCAGGAATGAGCCACTGGTATGCAGATATGCCCCTCTTCTTATGCTTTCCAGAGTGGAATCACACAGCTGCACTCAATCCCTGCTGAGGAGTCAGTGCAACACTCCCTGTCTAGCGGGTGCTCTGAATGATCCCTAATCAACAACCAGAGTAGTGGAGATTCGGCCAAACTTATGGGAAAAAATAAATTAAAATAGCAGAAAATACATACAGACTGCCACATCCTCTATAACTTTAAAGTAGCATAAAATGGACATACTCAAGTACAATAACCTCAAAATGTGTACATAAGTAAATGTACTTAAAATACTTCCCACCACTGAACACAAGAATATCGCTGCCCCTCTCACATTAACTCTACGTACCAAATGAGACACCTTCACACAGAATATTATTTTGCTCACTCGTCTGTGTGTGTATTAAATTTTCTTACTGATGACAGATTAAACTTTGTAATTATGCAGACTATGGGTACAAAGCTAATGAAATGCAGTTATATAGCTACTAAGCAGAAGTGCATAAATGTCAAATTTTATACATATCAGTGCAGTTATGCTGCATCTTACAATATGTACAGTGGAGTTACAATATACAAATAGTATATAGTATATTATAATATATTAAAAATGAATAGAGGAGAAGTGGACAGAGTTCGAGAATCAAGAGTGCATGTGCAGTATGAATAACATTTATGCATTTGGTAAACTATGCTGAGTATAACAACGTATACACAGATATATTACTGAGTGATATGAGTATGACTTTGTGGCTTACATTTTACAAGTAATTTTACTAACCTTTTGTTAAGATTAATGCTATTGGTTGTTAAAATTTTAGTAATGGCTTTGCACGGCTACATAATACATAATCGTGGCTGTTATCTATTATATTATTGCATCAATGTATTGCGACTTCCTGTTGCTCTGATTTGCGTACTATGTCATCTTTTCAACATTTTGTCATATGTTTGTATCTCTTCGCCTGTCACGTCACTGGTTTTAGAGCATTGCTAAAGGACTGCAGTGGAAATTAGCTAGCTGGCGAACACATCGACAGAAATGTTGATTAGTGTGTGTTGCTTGCTGTGTATCCCATTGTTTCCAGTCTTTGTGCTAAACTAAGCTAAACATATGCTGGCTCCAGCTTTATATTCACTGAAATGAGCGAGGTATCGATCTTCTCATCTAACTCTCAGCGAGAAAGCAAATATGCATATTACTCAAAATGCTGAACTATTCCTTTAACTCTTTTTTGCTTATCTGACAGGCTTCATCACACCCAAAACAATGCAGTGACTCAGTGAAGGATATATTTAGAGCTGGATAAATAATTATTGGAGAACAGATGAGAAGAAACGAGGTTTAAGAAAAAAAAAAAAAAGAGAGAATCTTTTATTATTTTTTTTAGCTATCTCGTACATGGATTATATCAAAGCTGTTAGGGGAGTATTTACAATGATGAAGGCATCTCCCTTAATTCCTAAAATATCTTGTGCGTGGACCTTAAAGCAAGGGGAAATAAATAACAATTACTCCAACAGGACCTTGTCGTTTGTGTCACTTCCACTTTTGTGTCGCTCCCAGATGGAAATACAAGTTGAAACTGCAGCAATTTCTCCCGAGTGTACAATCAGTACTGAACATGGTTCAGAAACTAGGTGACTTCCACCACCATCTGGAGAAGCTTGACAGTTCAACCTACTTCATTTTTCAGTCTGAAAAGCTGCTTCTGGCTCCGTCGCAGATGGTGGAGGCCGTCACTTCTTCTCTGTGAGGTGTGGCTCCGAGAGTTTTTGGATGTGCAGCTCCTCCACCAGCTTGTCCACGCAGGCCTTAAACAGAGGCTCGGGCTCCTGAGAGACAAGAACAGAACAGAGTCAGAACACGCAGGACAAACTAATCTACTAACATAAACTAACAGTGCACACATCATTACAAAGTAAAAATGTTGATCTTCGCTATTGGTGAAATCTAGTTCTATGATTTGTAATGAATGTCCTTCTCATTAAAAAACAGAAGATATCTGCACTCTCTGTTTCCTATCTATAAGTTCCTTGTACATCTTCGGGCCTGCATCCGCTCTACCACTACCACTGGAGGTGAGTGTCAGGCAGGTCATGTTTGAGGACTTTGTTACCTTGTCCTCTAGTTGCCTCTGTTTCTCCACGGCCTCCTCCAGGCTCAGACCCAACCACTCTGCCTCCTCCTCTGGGATCTCAAACTGCTGCTGAGACAGAAGGAAGCAGAAAAAGAAGAAACATGTCATTTGGTTTTTAGCACAACTGCTTTTGTAGTAGACATTAAGGTTGTGCCAGAAATCACTACACTTATGATCACTCAGTTGGCTTAAACACACACCCACTACCTTGTATTTGCTGTAGACCTTCTCTCTCTTGACAGGGTCGTTGGGGTAAAGCTCTGTGTTTTTGCGCGCCAGGCGAATCAACATGGCCCTCTTCAGGTCCATCCCCAGCTTGGAGTTCAGGTCTTCCTTTGGTGTCTGATAGGAGGTGGATGATTACAGTCATATAAGAAGCCCTATGGAAACTGTAATTTCGTCACACAGAGGCAGCATACTCTTACTTTAAGGATATAAAAGTCGAAACCATAGGCAGCATCGATGAGGTCCAGCGTGCGTGCTGTGACTGTGATGGTGAACTTGTGGTCGAGGATCTCGCTGTACAGCTCTCTCTTGAACAACTGTGGTTTCCAGGTCTTCCTCAGACGAGTCGACATCTAGCTCAGAAATCAGTACAAACATGAGAGATAAACTGAAATATAACGTCGAGAGCTACGTGAGTCAAAACGTGTCGGAGAAATGTCTTCTGGGCTTTGGTGCCAAGCTACCATCTCAAAATAACACACAGAGGAGCTCAGGGAAGAAGACAACATAATGTCAGTATTGTATCAACACGTGAATGGGTCAGAAGGAAGTTGACAGTGAGTGGGTAGGTGACATTCAAATAAGGCTCAAGATATAAATAGATATAAATCTACAGCAGCTGGAAGTAGTTCTAAACAATATGCAAAAATTACTTTGACAGATATTGCGATATGAGTCACGGTTCTTGATGGGGTCTTTATCAAACAAGTATGTTCCCTTACGTCTGGGGCATTTCTGTAACGCCACAATCCTTCATTTATATGTTGTGACATATTTGACCTTTATCAAAAGGTAATAGCACCTGTGATTTGGATATTGCACTTACTCAATGCAATTTCGATAACATTTCAATTAACTGTTCAGCAGGGCTAACTGATTTTGAAAAAATATCTAATTGCGATAATTTTGACTGATATTACAATTGTAATATTATTTGCAAAACTAGAGTGAATGGTAATTTTTACATCATTATACTCATTTCCATTGAAAAAACATATTCAAATAAATTATGGGGTAATTTTCGCAAGTATCTGTACCAAACAAGAATGTTTTCTTAATTCTGAAGAATATGATGCGTAAGCCAGGAGACCTCTGCAGCACAATTTTTAATTTAAAATGGTATTTTGAAACACATTTTGCCTTTCATAAATATTCAATCTCCTACAATTTGAAAATTGCAGTAGGCCATAATGCAATTTCGATAATATCTCCATTAATTGTCACACTCCAGCTGGATGCTTATACTGTGTGCACTATGGTATAATCATGTTATAACAACACACTGTAGTAGAACTAAATAGAGGGAATAATCTTCTTGAAGACTCACTTTGTCATTGTTGGCATATCTGAAACCTGATATCCAGCCCTCTCCTGCCCACAGGCCGTCCTGGGAGTGTGGCGGGTAGTAGATGGGGATCGGGACATCCTGCACCCGTTCCTTCTGCCCCGTTTTTGGGTTGGCTCGGTACTGGACTCCCAGAGGCCTCCAATGGACAGGGGTGGGTTCTTTCTGCTCGAGGGACTTGAGGTAGTGTTTAGGGAGACGAGCATAGATGCCCTGCTTCAGTTTCAGGGCATCCCAGATTTTGGGGGGGTATTTATGAAGAGGCATAGCGGATGGGCTTTTAAAGTTAAATCTGGAAGACAGAACACAAAAGATGTCAGAAAGAAACAAACAACAAAACTCAGCTCTGAACCAATTTCAAACATCTAATTCTAATCTAAAGTAATACATTCTTGGTCTGTGAATTACACTTATATACATTATTCGCAAAGGGACATGACCCATCACTTTTTGAAAGCATTTGTAAAAACAAAAATTCTGAAAAATTTCTTGCAACAAGAAATGTTAAATTACCAATGAAAATGCTATAAGAAAGGTTTATTTACACAAGAATCGAATAAGAATTGCAATGAAATGTAAATATAGAAGAAAGAGATCTGCGTTGTCCAAAAAAGTTACTTAAGCTAAAAAACAAGCTACTGATTACTGCATTATATTTTTATATTTTCAATTGTCACCTGCCACCTGAATTTTGGTTTCCCTCTATATAAATAAAGATGTTTCCACAATAAACTGGTGCAGAAAAGGTCTCCAGAATGCAAGAAATTCAGTGTTTAATGCTCAAAATCTTCTGGGGAAGGACCCCCAGTTGCCCTGATCTTATATTTCATCAATGAATAATTACTCTGTATAGCTTTAAAATATCTTCTAGTCTTGTTCTCGTGACCCCAAAATTGTGCATCATCACCTCTCATGGACTAAGTGTTTCGTCAAACCCCTAACCTGAGCCCACCTGTCCCCACCACTTTTCAACACAAAATGATGCCCTTGATTATTCATAATTTGTCTTATTCTTTTTCGATTAACACACACATAAAAACACACATTGGACTCTGTTAAGGTGTGTTTTAGTTTTGGTCTGCAACTAATGGTTATTTTCATTATCAGTTAGTCTGTGGATTATTTTCTCGATTAATTGGTCAGGTCGAGAAATTTGAAAAAAAGAAATGTCGATCAGTGTTTCCCAAAGCACATAGTTACGTCCTCAAATGTCTTGTTTTGTCTTAAGCCCAAAATATTCAATTGACTGTCATAGAGGAGCAAAGAACCCAGAACATATTCACATTTGAAAAGCTGAAATCAGAATTTGTTTTACATTTGTTCTTTAAAAAAGGACTCAAAGCGATTAATCATAGTTGACAACTAATTGACTAATCAACTAATTGTTTTAGCTCAAGTTTTGGTATCTGGCAATATATCTTAATTAAATGATTATACAGTCTCTTAAATATACAAATAAAAAATTGATGAATGAATAGATGCTGTTAAATACTGCCATACAACATTTTCTAATTTGATGAGGACAATTAACACCTTTTTAAAATTCTTTGAAATAATAAATTACAGTTAAATTACTTTTAAACTAAATCAATTAGCTGCAGGTTAGGAGTTTCTGGGGAGCGGTTGGCTGATATCTCTTTTAAATAATAAATATTAATTTACAGAGGCGCTCAAGTGAATAACTTTCATAACGTTGCTGTTAGCAGGACGCTGACAGGCCAACAACACATTTAGCTAACACATCGGCTAGTTGGACGAATCAAGGCATCTACGACTCTACCACACTCTTGCGCATAAGTTCAGAAGTCTGTTTACCAGGTAATATGAAAACAACGACCTCCACCAAATACAGGGTTACAAATACAAATACAAGTTATTCCAAAATCAAACGGGCAAGGACATCACATACCATCCACCTCTCAGGCTGGTTTCCGCATTGACTGGCTGCCTGCACAGACGAGGAAAATGATTGGATGGCAGGACAGGAAATGCTTGCAAATGATTGGCTTTCACGGGCTGTCAATCAATGTTTTTTCCGGGCAAAGCAGACGTAGATTCGCAGAAAAGTCCTCTTTCACTCATGACCCATGCACAGTAATCACACTGTAGTTTGAACATGTATTTAAACTATATCTGTATTATTATTTCTTTCTTTATAGATTTTGAAATCATCAATGTTATGTAATTTGAATTTATTTAACACTGCAGATGTACAGTGCTACAGCTACACTTTGATTTAAGTGATTTTTTAACAGGAACATATATAGAAAAATTAAACAACAATCTATTCAAAATAAAGAAATATACATTTAGCAATGCTCCATTTTAGTTGTAAAGAGCATATATATTTAATTGCATGTTTATGTATTTAATTTCTTAATTTACCATCTAGTCTTCGATGAAGTGCAAGTGGTTTGTGTACAGAGGTAGTAGGAGATAAATATTAAGAATGTTAAGTATTCATTATGCTGAATGGTCCTTTCTGTGTGTTATCTTATTATCTTACATTATGATGCATTATATGAGTAGCATTTTAATGCTGTGGCATGTCCCGGCGAAGCTGATTTTAACAACTTTATATACTGTTGTAATGTAAAATATTTTACAAACTGATCATATGTCTTGTACATAAAATCTTTATCTACAAAGTAGCTGTCAGATAAAAGGTAAAAGTGCTATTACAATGTAGTGGAACACAAAATAAAAAATAGACAGATAAAGTACAAGTACCTCAAAAATGTTACCAAAGGACAGTACTTGAGTAAATGTATTGTGATGAAGAAAGTAATTTAGAAAAAAACACGTGAGGCTTTTCCGGGTCGTTTCCTTCAATAAGTTGGACCTTTATATTGAAGTACAAGGACAAAGCTGGACAGGAAGTAGGCCCGTGACGTATTCAGAAGATCTGAACGGTCGTAAAAAGTAAAAAAAAAGACAGTTTCAGTGTTAAGTGTTTAAAATGTGGTATGTATGTAATGTACGTGTGTGTTCAGCTATATGATTACAATATCTTTATATTTTCCGATACGTCTTGAATACATCGGTAATTCACGTCATACGTTATGTTAAAACAGATAATAACGTCATATATCCTGAAATTACACCGTTTACACGCCTTGTAACGTCGCCCGAAAGGTGGAATTGAACCACTCTGCCGCTAAGCAGCTACAGGTTTGAAGCCTGCACCCCGGACCACCGAGGCTCATCCGGGCACTTCACCAATGCGAGTCAAACTTATAAGTACCTCACAACAGCCAGACCCGTCTTAGTCATGGTGTCACAAAAAAAATCTAAGGTGACTTTGTATTTATCAGAGAAAGCACGTGTACACAAAGTACAATCACATGCTGGATGCCCTAAAGCATATTTATGTCGAATAAACACAATAAAGGGAAAAATAGTCTGGTCTGTGCGGTGTCGTGGAACACAGACGCATTGTGATTGGCTGTCTGATGATGATAAAAAGGTGGAGCCACATCGCTTCATCACAGGTAGGTTTATGGATTGGCTAGATAGATAGATATATACTTTATTTATCCCGAGGGAAATTCAAGTATCCAGTAGCATACGGTTAAAATTAAACACAAATAGAAATCAATGTCATGGCAGGAAAGGCATAGGTGTAACTGATGATATTAAAATTGTATGCATTTCATTTAAGTGTACCAGTGCATGCTGAGACATCACTATTGTTTATAGTTACACCTGTGCATTTCCTGCAATCACAGATCCAAATGTCTGCCATGAAAAAGCCCACTGTGTGATCTGCTCTACTCTCAGTCTCATATTTAATTAAGACACAAAACCATTTACCCACCAATTTTTTTGAGAGTGCACATTTTTTATTTAATTTATTAAATCTTCCTCATTTCTTTGTTTTATTTGTGACTATTTTGTAATTTTATGTTTGGCAGAAACAGTGGGGGGCAATTAATGTAATTGATTTTAAGTAGAGCAAATTGTAACTAAATACTTTATATAGCTACTATCAGGTAGTTAAATCTATAACAATAATATTTCATAACATATGTTTTGAATCTTAGTCTGCACAGTAACTAGTAGGCTAACTATACCTGTCAAATACCTGTATTGAATATATCAAGTAAGTAGGATGATGCATTGTTTAATCTGTATTAATGCATTGCATTTTATAAATTGATCATGTTTTGTAAAATACTGAGCTGTAAAGTAACTATAGCTGTCAGAGAAATGTAGTGTAGTAGAATTCTATAGTAACACACAATGAAAATACTCAAATAAAGTATAAAAACCTCAAATTTGTATAGTACTTAATGTACTTTGCTACTTTCCACCACTGTTTGTATATACATAGACATATATTTCACATTTTGATTATAGTAGATGCTTCACGCATCTATATGCATTTGTTCTCGTACTTTCTCTTGCTGCTGAGACAGTGTGGGATTAATGCATTTTCTATTATCTAAAAATTAACAGACACACTTGCTTTAGAATTTTTATTTGTTTTATTCTAAAACATACATGGGACAGAGTAAAGAGGTTCCAGGTACAAATGAAGAAAAAGAAATTCCTCCATTTTTGTTGAATTTCAGGCTACTTCATATCGCATAGAAATCTTTGGTGCAGCACTGTGTTAATGTCAAAAAACTAATTTGAGAGATGTACATTGGTACATGGGTATCAGATGATTCCTTTATTTTCCTCCAGTGTAATTCTTTGGTTAAAACAACAGAGTCAGAGGAAGGTGTTCTCGATGACCAGAGTCTGAGGCTCTTCCTTTGTTTCCCCAGCTGGTGGTGCCAGCAGGCTCCTGGACTCCTCTCCTAGGGGAGTGCAGCACATATTCCCAGCACAGGCCTTTCCACAGGCGAGGCTGCAGGCCAGAAGAGGAGGCTGGGAGGGGTCCTCTCTGTGGACGACTGCAGACTGGTCACCACTCCCATTGCCTGCAGAGCAGTAAACAAACTCTGGCTGAACGGTGCAGCAGCTCACTCCCACACTCTGCAGCACCCTAGTGACTCCCGACATCAGATCAGCACACCTGGACATATGGAAATTATTCTACATTAGTACAATATGCAGTTTTTATCCATGCAAAAACATATTCATGATAATACAGACTCCTGTAAATAAATACAATAATTTTAGTGATTGTCTGTTTTCTGCATCTCATTCCAAGCATGAAATAAAACAATATAAACCAGTCATTATCAATTTTTCTCCTAACCAGTCCTCACTATAAACTGAACTCCAAGAGCATGTTAAGCCTCACTGTTGCTGTCTATAGTTTAATAAAAGGCACATTAATTCAGAACTGCAAAAAAACACACATACATCAAAAAGGTGTCTGGTTATACTGTCCAGTTACAAAAAATTAATTCACAGCTTCCACCCAATCAGAAGAGTTTTCAGGGGCTATTGTATAACCACCAGTAAAAAAAAGTTTAAGAACTTTACCTGTGTGCTGGAAACCCAGCGTGGCAGTGTACATGGACAGAGGCCACCGTGAAAGATTCAGTTAACTGCCAGACGTGGAGGTCGTGCACAGCCTGCACTCCAGGGACACTCGCAATCTTCCGTCCAAGATCATACACACAAATGTGTGGAGGTGTGGCCTGTAGCAGCAGCAGTCCGTACCTGTACACCTGGAGAGCAACGGCAACAGTCTGTACAGGTTTGGATACAACTGCAGAAAATTTATTATTTCTCAAATCTTCTTGAACTGATCCTTTAAATGGCGTTTCTAATTAGTGGGTTGAATTTGGTCTTGATAAGAGCTGAATGTTTAAAAGCAACTGAATGGCAATGACATGAACACACACAGACTGACCTGTGGCGTGGCTGTGGCAATCAGGGTGATCACAGCCAGCAGGGAGAGAGCAGGATCCAGGTAAACCAGGAAGCCACAGGTCCCAGAGCTGTGCAGGCACTGAGGGCCGATCAGCAGCATCACCAGGCTGTTGATTAGAGACAGGAGGGAGGTACAAAGGCCCTGAACGACAGGGACGAACGACAGGAAATAGACTGGTACGGGGCTCTTGATGTGATCTGATGACTTGCAGACTGGGGAGGTGATAGATGCATGTTGACTGTCTGAAAGAGGAAAAAACATTTTTTGTGATCAGAGCTAGAGTACATGTGCTTTTGGTCCATAAAGATATAAACAGATTCTTAGGGATACTAAAGTGAGACAGGCGACAGTCCAAGTAGCTAAACTCTCACCAAGATACCCCATGCAGGTTTTGTCTTTGGAAATCTCTGTGATGTCTTCTAAGTGACTCAAATCTGCAACACCGCTTGTTACTTCACAGTTGCTGCTGTCCCGTGGAGGTGCTGCATGCAGGTGAACTGCTGGCTGTCGTTGTGGGGTTTGAGAGTCAGTGTCAGGGTCACAGGAGGTCCCCGGGTTACAGAGGACTAGTGCCCCATTGTGAAGCGTGTCCTCTACAGCAGATTGGACTCGGCCGATGCCCTCCAGGACTCGCCCCAGCTCGGCCTCTCCTTTAGTTTCCTCTTCAGCCATGACTGTGGGAGTCGAACAGAGGAATTAAAAACAAAAACGGACACTGTTTGATGTTCTTTACAGCAGAACATACACTTTGGCAGCTACTTCAAAGTGAAATCTGTCAATATCATCACCTGGACATGCACACTACTTATTCTGTAGTAAAAGATTATTATTACATAACGCCATCAGGAGTACCTGCTTTCACATGGACCAATTTAAACTCGTGTACAGTTGGTGATACACAGAGAGGGGATGTGCAATATTATTTAAAAACTGCTTCATGAATCATTGTGAGCTGCTACAAATCCTTATGTACAGTACTCAACTAGCTGAAATGCATAAAAATGATGTGGTTAGGAGCAGTACATGTATGGTAAATATGAAGCTACAGCTTGCATCCCGTTAGCTTAGCTTAGCATCAAGACTGGAACAAGGGGAAAAAGCTAACAAATCGTTGTTTTCAAGCTTCGGCGTTTG